CTTCGGAAAATTTCCGGAAAATTCCCCAACACTTCCGGAAAATAACAAAAAACTTCCAAAGTCTAGGATATTTTTAATTTTCCCCGGAAATTTTCCGTTTTGCCCGAAATGTTCCAGAACTTTTCCAGGGCTTCCAATCCTAATTCAGGCGCACGTAGGTGGTAAAGCGACATTGACACACTTGGATTCCCAGTGCAATATTGTTATTAAGCCCGCAAACTACTGTGTGTCGTCGTTCTTGCAAGAACATCTGGATTTCGACGACTCGCAAGGGGCGCTTTCGAGGGGTCCGCAACTAGGTTCGAGCGCGTACACTGGCCGCCCGGAAAACTGGGAAGACCGGGAAGACCACCAGGAAGACCAAAGAAAACCGAAGAAGACCAATAAAGTTGTACGCCACAAATGTGACGGAAACAGAAAAATATAAGGGAAGACCGGAAAAACTTTAGGAAAGACCTAGAAATTGCAAGGAAGACTAGAAAATGTAAGGGAAGACCGATGAAAGTGCGAGAAAACCGCAGAAAATTGGAGGAAGCCTTTAGAAAATGTCAGAAAACCAAGATTGGGAAAACCAAGAAAAAGTTGGGAAGACCGGGAAAACCTTAAGAAAACCTAGGAAAACGAGGAAGCCCACCACATGTGTACACTGGCAGACCGTACTTGCGGACCCCTCGGGCGCTTTTGTGTCCTCGTGCCGTTTGCCTATGCGCACAGCTGGGCGCGCCTTGCGGAGTCACCTGTTGGAGCGGACTGTACCGTACCGCGCGGTGGCGGCAGCGGCGGCGGGAGGACGAGCAGTCGAGCCGACCACCGGCAGACCAACCAAAGCCGAGGTTATCAAATCGGGAGAGAGGTGGCCAAAAGGCGTGGGCAGGCCGGGCATTGTGGGCAACAGGTCACGGCAGGGCGCGGGCAGGGCAGGGCGCTCACACAAAGCAGCTGACCGTCTGCCGGGCCGCGCAGACCCCCCGGCCTTGCTCCCATTCCAACAGGTAGAGGATGAGCGAGCAGCGGGCTGTGAGCTGCTTCGGGGCGGTGGTCGCGACCACGGTGCGCGCATCGCGGCCACTCCAGGGTGGGCTGCGCACTACTCTAATCCTCTAATCTCACCTCCAAAAAAAGACAGTTTCTGCGTGAGCAACGTGTTGAGTGAGGACAACGAGGATTCTTTGAGAAACAAAAGATTCTAAAATATATCACTCGAAGTTTTAAGATTATGATTAGGAATCATCACTCGAAAAATAAAAGAGCGAGGAGCGAGGTGTTTCCCAATCATTACTCGAATGAAAACTTCTTTTGAAAAACTATATCACCCAAATCATATATTTTTGTCCTTGCTGTCGGAAATTTCATCATACGACATTTCATCTTTCGAAAAGACGCTTCTTTGAGCATTTGCACATTACACACATATCGGAACGCGAGAACAAGAGGGACTCGACCAGCTTTACAAATTAGGACGGGCGGAAAGGACGCGAGCGACGCGAGTCTCCCGAAACCCACACGGGATGTTTCTGCAACGACGCCTCGTTTACTGCTTCTCTTCCCTCAATAAAACAAAGGATAGCGCGACTGCAGCCTCCGCTCTTTTGTCTCTGCTCTGTTATCCGCCCAGCGCCAGAGCTTCGCGGTCAGCCAAGCGTCCTGCTGACCGCCGCCGCCGGCCAGTGTGCATGATGCAATACTCAAAGTAGTGTGTTCAAAACACACAGGTATAAAACTTTTAGCAGCGATAAAACGCACTCCTTTAGCCTCACTGTGTGCATAATATTCAAAGGGCGTCGTCGCTCGCGGTCAAATGCCTTGCCATGGATTCGTTCGTATTGCGAAAGTTTTGGCTGCTTTAAGCCTATGAGGAAATTTCTTCGCATTACAAAAGGAAGGACTCTACAGAACGTACCAAACAAAGAAAGGGACGTTTTACACTTAAGACGCTATAGCCTGAAAACGGACTATAGTTCATAGTGCAGTCCTTTTTTCTTTCGTTACACCAACTAATAGTTAGTGTTTTAGTCAAAATTCTGATCAAGTTTGATTGGAGGAAAATTCAATAAAACAGTCCTGCCCGCACTGGAAACGCAAGTGTGTGAATGTCGCACACTACACGGATAACATTTGCTTGCTCCCTTTTCGTCAATATTACACCAAGAAAAATGAAAAGTTCTACCGGGAACAACCAGAAAATATGGTTAAGGCAACAACCGTACAGGTGTATTAGCCAATGAAATGGTTTTCACCACTGGCGGATAGTTGTCTCAACACATATATAATATGATTATTCCTGAAAAAACCATGAAATAGTTCCTACAACTTTTCATTTTTTCTGCGTGTATACTATTATGAGGTGTCGCGGGTGTCACACAACTAAACGCACCTATTCTTGCTCCTCATTTAATCTTCGCCACAGTTTAATTTCCCTCCCAACAGAATCCCGACCCGCCACCATAACTAAGTGTGATTGAGACGTTTGCTACTGGGCGTGGCGGGGCGTGGCCGGGCGGAGCGCAAAGAGCTTGCGGCCGAGCGGGTGCAGCCGCTGGTGGTGGCAAGTCCGCGCGCGGGCAATTGAGCAGGCGCGTCGCGTCTAGCCTGCTAGACGGCTGGTCTGGTCAGCGGTGGCGGCGGGGGGTTCCTCTCTCTCTCCTGACGCCTCGCAACTAGCCGCGCGGTCTGACCCGTGAGGGCCCCGCACGCCGGTTTGCATACAATGGGGCCGCGGGGGCCGCCCGGGCTAGAGTTGGAGAGGAGAGGATTCGCCCCCCCCCTCTCTCTCCCCCGGCCCGGTGGGGCAAACGAGAGTGCCGCCAATATACGGGTAGAGCTGATTAGCGAGAGGCAGAGAGAGAAAGAGAGAAGAGGGAGGGGGGGGGGGATGGCCCGGTCAAACGAAATGGGTGTGGGGCGTAACGCTGTAACGGGGTCAGGTGTGTGTGTGACTGAGTGTGAGAGTGCGAGTGTGTCAGTAGCTTAACAACCAATATTTTCAGAATTTTCACACAGAAAATCAGGGTGTACGCATGTCGCCCACTTGTAGGTGAGCGAATACTTGTTTCGCTCACTTGTAGCAGGTGTGTAAGTTGTTATTTCCTCACTACTTAATGCAAGTTAGTGAATGATTATTCATTCACCTACAAGGTGAGTGAATTTAGCCGTCCACCTGCAAGCGAGCGACATTCGTACACTTGGATTTTACCGTGTAGGAGCATGGTAGGGGTGCAGCCTACTCCTAGCACAATACAGATCAAAGGGACTGTGATATACGCGGCTGTATGGAATTTCTCTCTTTGGATGTCATGGGAACACCCGGAGGTACCACAGGAGTAAAGGGAAATCGATCCAGTTTACAAAACGTGCCATTCCTGCAGCTCACATCGAACACTGCAAATAAATGGCCATATCACGGTAACGACATATTTGCTCGATAATTCCTGCATTGTATCACACACACACTGAATTGTTGAAAGTTCCATAGCATACTATAATCATGGTCATACGGAATGCAGCGTTGTATTTTCATTATACAGAACAGTGTGTAACTCAAAAATACAAGAACACCCATGCTAGAAAAATACGGGAATTTTCGTACCGACTGATGTACGTCAAAAGTGTCTAGTAAACATGTTTTCATTAAAAGTGGTCGAGAGGAAATGAAACAGAGAATACGGTACTTTTGTGTACGGGCTGGTCCATATTTAGAAACAACGGGAAGGTGCGTTTATCGCATCGTACGGTTGTCCAGTAGACTTGGAGAAACGGTTCAGACCGGCTACAAAATTACCAGAGCCAATTCCGTCAAAATTTCCGTTGTAATTCTGAACAGTGTGTCTACACAACATTTTCACGACCAATTTCCTCTCTCACGAGTGAGTCAGTTAGAGCCAGGAGGTTGGTGGCGGCAGCGGCGCAGCCGGTGGCAGCACTGGCGCAGCGCCGCGGGCGCCGCAGGTCGGTCCCGCAGGTCCCGCAGTTGGACTTCCCCGCACCGCGCGCCGTCGCCGCGCCCAGAAACACTTTCCGTAGGCCCTGGGGCGGGCCGGCCCAGCCGGCACCGGTAGCGGTCCCGCGGCTACGGCTGCTGCTACTGCTGCTGCTGCCTGCCCCCTCACCATCGACAGCTCTCAGGTCCCCCCCGGTCAAATCGGTCGTAACACCTGGGCGACGATAAGCTCGCTGAAAGTGCCGGAAGGGACGGGCGGACACGGGTGTGTGGACCTGGTGGACCACGCGGGCAGCGCACTACGGACACGGGCGCTCAGTGACTTTCCCGCCACACAGTAGCCGCACGAATAATATGCAGTTGAACATAATAATAAAAATGCCCAGCAGGAGATACAAATCCTCGCACAAAGTTGCAACTACTCGGGATTCAAAATTATTGCAGCTTGCAAGATGTGAAGGTGAACACAGACGCATCTTGCAGTGGACAAATAATTATGCCTTATGACGTTAAAAGTGAATACTGACCAGTTTATTGTCCATTATTCCGCGCAGTATTTTTTGTTAGGTGTTAGGTGTTAGGTTTTTGTAAGATGTAAGCAATGTAAAAAGAAATTAAAATGGAGGCGTACAGCTGCTGATGGGGAATCTACAGTCAGCATTCGTGATAATTTGATGCTTAACATATAATGTCACACAAAAGTGGCCAAAGTAAATCTAGGAACAAAATAAGTGTGCCAAAAAAATTGTCAAAATTTCCAATCAAACCAATGCAAGTGTGTGCATAAATCACCATTACAAAAATCGTCGTAAATTTACAACTTCTTTCTCAATAAATTTGATTAACAAAAGTCTGTCAAAAAATTATCGATATTCATTTATAACAACCAATCTTTGTGCGTCAAAAAAATTAAATATGCTTCATTTCGAGAAACTTCCCGGTAACACTTTACGAGCATATCTTACATTTCACATAAAATGGTACAGTTTTTCATTCGGCGTGTTTTTATCAATAATTTGTAAACGCTTCGAAAGAATTCGGGACGTTCCAATAAAGTACTCACGTTAGTAATCCACATGATCGCAGCGGTGTCCTTTAATATGGTTGTCACTGTCACACTCACTGGCGCACTGACTTGCACTCACACATGCGCACACACTCACTCGCGAAACACTTTAGTTTTTCGTTGTTCTTTTTTTTGCACGGAAACACAGTTTCAGTCCTGCGTCGCGCCGCTCAGTCTGTAATCCTTTCGTCCTCTCATGTGGACCGGCGCGAACCTGGCCGCAACGCAGCGACCGTTCGAATGACGCGACGGCCCGAGAGACCGGTCCTTTATAACCTCGGTGCTTCCCCACTCCTCCTGCCCCACCACCACCGCCACCGCCTCGTGTCGGGATGCGGCTGTTGGGCGGGAGGGCCGCCGGGAGGGCCCCACCGGCTCAACGGGGTAGAAGGGCCCGGCCCGGGCGCGGAGCCGGCGCCACGCGACCCCCACCCAGCAGCCGGGTGCCGACCTGCGGGGCCAGGGACAGAGACACCCCCACTCCGGACTAGCTACCCCACGCTGGAAATTGTTTTGCATGCTAGTGTGTTTGCTGCTATTTAGTTTTTAATTTCCCTCGTAGTTGTTTACTTTTCAGTTTACTGGCAATAAAAAAAAAACAAAAAAAAAAACAGTATATACGTATTACTTTTAGACGAGAATTCGACGGTGGAAAGTATTCCAACAAAAGAGGGCGGATATAGTTTAATTTTGGCACCAGCGAAGACATTAATCGCCTCAATAGCTGGTCGATGAAAACAAATCCCACTGTACTATAAAGCGCTTGTCCGGCAAGGCAAGCGGGTGGCGTGGCGGCGCCCCCCGTCTCTTGAGTTGAGACTGGGCTGACACCGGAACGGGGGGCGCCGGCCAGTCAAAGCCCCTATTCGTCAGCTCAGCGGGTGGTGTATATAGCGCTGTGGTCGCAAGGAAGGGAGACGCGGTGGTGCTAGTGAAGGCCCCCCCCCCCCTGTTTTGGAGAAAAGGTAACGATCGTCTAACAGGTGTAGTCTTCTTGCAACGGAACTAATAAATGCTCCCCGCAACGATCTGACGTATTGCGTCGTTAAACATACTTTACAATTTCTTTTAGTATATAAAAAGATTTTCCTATATATTAATAAAGGACGTTTTTATGTTTGCGCAGTATGTAACAATAACTTGTTCTTTAGTCGCGAGGTTCTCATTTAAATAGAACTCAGGGATAGTATTCCCCTAGCAATTAATTAGACATCGAACTCTTTTACAAAATGGAATACAGGCCCGAGATGAAAATACACGTAAATCATATACAGACACCTCTTTAATATCGTTTCTGGTTCCTGCATTATAATATCAACACTTCACTACTTTGAGGATAAACGATTGCTGACATAAGAACGAAAGATTTGGCTGTCGCTACTATTGCCGCAATGTCGATCATTTCCCAGCCTCCAATTTCGACACAATGAGTACGCATCACCAGGGCCTGGCAGGG